ACTAATTACGCAGAAAACGCTCACAGAAGCCCTTAGATAATACATAGATACATCTTTACTAGAAATATATTAACTTATCCAAATAAAAAATAACCATCTTAACTTCACATTCATACAACTCTTTGTTTTCAAATAATTTTCACAAACAAAATCTCATTCAACTTCAAAGACAACATGGCAGATGGCTAAGAGATTAAAAAAAAAGCACACCCTGTCTTTAAAGATTTATTTAGTGTTGTCTCAAATCCTAAGGAGAAATGCAGAATATGAATGGATTCCGCATAATAAAGCCAGCACACTACTGTAAATAAAATTACTGGTCTGATATACATATGCCCTTTTCCGTATTTTAAATTAAAATAGAATCTTTGAATTTAACAATGACCTCAGAAATACCTTCCTTCCACAGGGGCTACTTGTCTAATGTCACAGTGAACTATACAATTTCTAATATATTGAGAAAATTTAAATCATAGAATCATCTTTTTAAAACTTTTCTTGTACTGAGCAAGTTATGCTGGAATGAATACCAAGGAGGACAAAACAACAGAGCTAGACAAAGAACATAGAACCCTAGTGTATTTCTATCAGTAATTATTCTAATACCAACCACGAAGATCAAAGGGTGAAAAAAAAAAACTCCAAAAATTACACATTTCCCTCATAAAATCTGTTTTACAATACTGTAAATTATTTCAACTGGAAAATTTATGTGTCCAATGCTTTGCTAATTCCTACATAGAAGTTGTAACCCTGAGCCTTTATGGTCCAAAACGAACACTAGAGATATGAAGAAAATATAAAAAATATGAGAACCTTGTGACTGAAGAAGCCCATGAGTTAAGTCAACAAAATATATTTCCCATGAATACATACTTATAGGATTGGCAGAAGAGCTTGCTGGATAAAAGCTCTGGTTCTCAGGTCATACAGATCTGGGTTTGAATGCTGGCTCCTTCACTAATTAGCAGTTTAACCTTGGACAAATTACTTAACCTCTCTATGTCTCAATTTCCTAATCTGTAAAAACAGAACAATAATGTTAACCTCATAAGATTGTGAGAGTAAAATGAGATAAAGTGTATAGTGTTTATCACTATATCTGGCACACTGTAATCCTCAAAAATGTTTGTTATCATCATAATCACCTCTACCATATTATTATTGAAGAGGTTCTATAAAATATTTAGGACTCCTGGTATGTATGTATGTATGTGAAACTGACTGATATATAAAGGTTATTATAATGAGCATAACAGCTTCCTGGAAAGAAAAGAATAGAAACCTCCAATTTCTCCAGCTAAAACCTATCAGGGAAGCCTTAATAAAGGCCTAATAGCAAAGGCAATGAGGGACTATCTGATGACATCAGAAGAGAAAAAGACAGGTCCGCTGTTCCAAGTGTCCTGTCTGGCCATCATAAGGACAGGTGGTGCCACGGAAGTAACTCTGAATTGAAGTGAGTGAGGTGGAATGATGGGAATATTACACAATATTATACAATATTCTTGATTTATCACAACTTGGTTATTTTGCTTGCTTGTTTGTTTTTTGTGTTTTTGGGGGGGAGATGTGCGGGGGGGGGTATATACTGCATTATGTCATCTCTTCTCCTTTAAGTAATCTACCAAGGTCATGCAGCTATTATGTAATAGTGCCAGGATTTAACCCCTACGTGTCAGGCACCAGTATCCAGCGCTTAAACACTACAATAAAACATTGTTACGGCAATCCATGGGCAGAAAGATGTGTTCATATTTATCTTGTATATATATGGTAGCAGAACTCAGATGACACACTCTAACCTGCAGGAGGTGAGCCTATGGGAATTATTTTCAAACATTCTGCCAATGGTAACTGACAGAAAGCACAATCAACATAAAATTGAATCCTAAGTATCCACTAGCCAAAAAGTAGTATAATCTCTGGCAAGTCACCTAAGTTTAACTAAGCCTGTTTCCTTGTCTGTAAAACAATATTTCCCTCATCTCTCAGGATAGTAGACAGAAAACAAAGCACATGAAGTACATAATACAATAATTAATACTTGATGACCCTCAATAAACAGCAGCTCCTATCACCATCATCATCATGCCTTAACAATTTGGTTTTAATTTTGAATATCAATATAAGAATGCTTGCTTAAATAGTAAAATTACTGAACTTAGGTTCCACATTAATAGTCTTAAGTGATTCTGAAGAATGAATCAGGATGCACCTCCTCACTACCTCCCTGTTCCTGGTCTATGGGGGGAAAAAAAAAGAAAACTCTGCTGGTTATGTCTGGTGATAGCACTAACTATGTTAGTTTAAGAACTCAATTTATTTTTTTTTTTTTTTTTTTTTTTTCCTTGCGTTATGCGGGCCTCTCACTGTTGTGGCCTCTCCCATTTGCGGAACACAGGCTCCGGACGCGCAGGCTCAGCGGCCATGGCTCACGGGCCCAGCCGCTCCGCGGCATGTGGGATCTTCCCGAAACGGGGCACGAACCCGCGTCTCCTGCATCCGCAGGCGGACTCTCAAGCACTGCGCCACCAGGGAAGCCCTCAATTTATTTTTAGAATTCAAATTCAATTTAAATTTTCACTGATATGTTAATTGGTACATATCACATGTTTTACATTAAAATTAAATAAGTATTAATAAGAATAACAATTAACAATGATTTCTCCTTGTCTACGAATAAACCATATTTAGAAATCAGAAAGTTTATACAATGTATCTGGAACACTGCTGTTGAACCTACTGTCTAAGAACTTAAATTCACCAAAAATCTGTTATCGAGCATTAAGTCACAATACTCTGAGGGAGACCCAAAGATTATATTCTATCCATTATTCATGGGTGCAAAGAAATCAATGATATGGAAGAAATATATGCTTTATGCATCATTCTACATCCAAGGAGAAGAAATAAAACAAGAACCTGCAAAGATTCCTGAATCAGCTTTACTAAGAAGAATGAGCAAAATAAAATATGCTTAATTAAAACAGAGAAAGCTAGCATTAAGCTTTTAAAGGTCATCTCAGATATAAACATATAAATTAGTTCTACTTAATAATGTCTTTAATCACTAGGAAGAGGGCTGGCCCTGATTAACTACACAAAATAGGCCACTCTCCTTATATGCACATTTAGCAACTCTCATTGAATGTAGAACTCTTCATCCATAAAAAACATGGTATAATTTTAGTGAATTTAGTTGTGACTCCCAAAACCCTTTCTTTTTCCACTGTGTCATAAATGGGAAAATGTATCAGCCACTCTGGTAAGTAACCTTACATATATTATTTCATGTGTTCTTAAACACATTTAGAAGAAGTGAATTGTCAGGCAAGGTCACATATGTCGTACATGGCAGAGGCTGCAGTGTCTTGTATCCAGGTAAGCCCAGCTCCAAAGCACTGAGATTCTGGAATTCTAGCTCATCTCTCTTTTATTTATTTATATTTTAAATTTTTATTTAACTATAGTTGATTTACAATATTGTATTAATTCAGCTATATAGCTTCAGATTCTTTTCCATTATAGGTTATTATGAGATACTGAATATAGTTCCCAGTGCTATACAGTAAATCTCTGTTGTTTATTTTATATATAGTGGTGTATCTCTGTTAATATCATACTCCTAATTTATCCCTCCCCCTCTCCTTTCCCCACTGGTCACCATAAGTTGTTTTCTATGTCTGTGAGTCTGTGTTTTGTAAATAAGTTCATTTGTATCTTCTTTTTAGATTTCACATATAAGTGATATCATATAATATTTGTCTTCCTCTGACTTTCTTCACTTAGTATGATTATCTCTAGGTCCATCCATATTGCTGCAAATGGCAATATTTCATTCTCTTTATGGCTGAGTAATATTCCATTGTATATATATACCACATCTTCTTTATCCACTCATCTGTTGATGGACATTTATGTTGCTTCCATGTCTTAGCTATCGGCTCATCACTTTTAAATAAAAGATAACTGTTTCTCATTTTTAGACTGTTTTCTAAGGTAATAATATCAAGATAACTAAGCTTCACAAAATGTTTTAAAGCAATATAACTCTAAAGTTAAAACAAGGAAAAAAAGAAAGCATTACACAGTCAGATTTCTTCAGGCTGGGAAAAATTCATAATCAAGAAATAAAAGCCAATGCATGATCAATATCAAGAAGAATGTGCCTGTAGTATCCCAGGTCAGACTGGTTTTTCTTGTTGTGTTTCTGTGTGTAGATGTTTTGTGCCTGTTAAATAACCAAAACAGGTGTTTCAACTAAACTCTGTGAAACCCAAATGAACAAGTACAGACAAGTATATGAACAAGTCCAAAGTTTTCTTAAGCCACAATGAGGAGTGGCATGGTGAATTTATAACTTTCCCTATTCCTTGTTTTACCATGATATACTGAATTAGCTAATAATGCATACTTATTAATATCATGTATTTCTTTAGTCTACTTACCAATTATTCACAGCAGAAGTCAAAAACTAGCTTTAAATTACAAGAATATGGCTTATACATTTATGTAAGGAAGACTTTCTCAAGATTTATTAGAAAATTTCATATTTACAAAAATTTAACAATTTACAAATGTTTATACTAAGAATATACCCAAATGGTTACAAATGACAACAAAAATTAACACTGAAGCTTTCAAATATTAGGATTTTAAAATTTGATGTTATTTTAAGAATCCTTTTATCCAGATCATATAAAAGGCATTCACTATGAAGCAAACCCTAAATATAAAAACCAAATTGGTTTTATACAAAAGGGCATATTTTGTTTTAATAACAATTAAAAATATTTATCACAGAAAATTCCCTTAGTGTAACTCAAGTGTTAGAAATAAAATTATTTCAAAAATTTACATCTGTACCACTTTAATCTTTACCACCCAAATCATGTTCAACTTTTCAGGAACATATATACATCTCAAAGTTATTTTAAAGGAGTTACCACCAGTCTCTTGCCTAGGTCTCTACAGACAGGTAAACATTGGAGACCCACCTTGTGCTGTTCAATGGCATCTATCCACTGCTGTCTGTGATCTGGATCCTGAGCACGAAGATACCAAACACTATCATTTACACTAATATCAAAGCGACATTCATCAAAATCATGAGGCTGTGGAGAAAAAGGAGAAAAAAAGCAAAGTTAATTATATTCTTAGAAGTGCTACACCCTACAGCAAAAACATGAACATACCCATTCTAGCTGGTGGGAGATTTTTGTTATTCTTTTATTTTTCTACTCAAATAATTTTTTTGAAGATATTTCAAATAAAGAGCACAACAAGGGCATAGTTACCAAAAACTAAGTTTTATTCACTATTCCCACAAATGAGTTGACACATAAACTACAAACATATTTAAAAAAAAAGAGATATTTTCATCAAATACTTTGAGTTAGTTTAACTAGTGAGAATTACTACTGAAAGCACAATTTTTAAGGGCCAAAGTAAGTTTTATGAAAGACGTTTACTAATTTTTTTCCTGCCTCCATTATTCAAAAGTAAATTCTCATCATCAATAGTTTTATTTCATTACATTTGATAAACAAGATATTTTTATAACATTAACAGTTCCTCCCAAGTATTTCAAATTAACTTCTAGGTTTTACACATCTTGGATCGCAACAGCCAGGAGAGCTTCCAGTGAAAAGCAAAAATAAAATGAACTTTACATCAGACCTATGTTAGATAGCTAGAGGAAACTGCTTCCATCAAAATGTAAACAATTAGTAAAAATGTCAACTATTTGGTTCAGCGTTTCACATTCTTCATAAGAATATATAAAATAAATATTTTATATACTTGTTTTTCCACCAATGAATAAGTTCAAATATGACAGGATCTATTTCACAAATACCACCTCTTCTTCTACTGGATAAAGCACAATCAATTTCCTCTCCTGTGAACAATCTTAGCCTTAGAGGACAGATAATCCTCTCTGGTCAATGTAACAATAAACTTACTTGCTGAACACAATCTACATATTGTGTTTACTCTTTCC